CCTGTGTCCCTGAAAAATTTGTCTTCATCCTGTTGGAAATTCTAGCAACGGGTTTATCCCATTTTGGGCTATAAAATGGCACCCAAATCCTCTCATTTTAAACACAATTCTTCAACATTTCAATACTCTTTCATTGCATAAGCATTCCTATTTTTTCTTAGCTATTTGAGAGCCAATTCTTGAAGAAATTGTCGTGTTCTTGAGCGTTTACTAGTTCACTCATATCTACTCTTTGTGAGAGTTTTATTCCTGAGTGTTTAAGTGTTTTCATACACTTTAAGGGGGGTTGTTCCCTTGTTGTAAACTCGAAGGAAGTTCCTTGTTCCTTCGTGAGAAGTCTTGGAGTGCGGTATCTCCAAGCAAAGGTGTTGAGCGTGTGACTCGGGTTCTCGAGTTGTATCGGTTTGTTAAGCACCCTTAAGCTTAACGGAGTTAGTGTAGCTCGAGAGAGTCTCTCGGGGGGCTGGATTAGCCACACGTTGTGGTGAACCAGGATAAAATTCGGTGTGCTCCTTCCTTATGCTCTTTACTTTAACGCTCTCGTTTTTAATTTCCTTCGATTTTGTTTTAAACGCTATTCACCCCCCCTCTAGCGTTGGGCCTTTATTCTAACAAACGTGACTAAAATAGTTAGTCTAATAAAGAGGATTATGTAACCTTGCCAAATACTACTGAACCTTAAGCACTAAAATAATCATATTAGACTCTGAAAGGAAAGAGCACTTGAAAACTGTTCCAAAACGATTCCTTCCTTAAATAACAAGTAATGAAAGTAAGTCTCACATGAATGAAGACACTTTAAACACTCATTATGGATGAGTCTATCAAGGATAAAAGGAGGGCTTCAAATTATCTATAACCAGTTATAGCACTTATATGTCTAGGATAAAAGTCTTATTGAAGACTAGTGGGAGCACAATAAGTATGTTGCATATCATTGACAAAATAAATTAAAACTTATGAGTCATGAATGCAAATAGTAGTTATGTGCTCAAGTCTAAAGAATCCATATAGATGGATCAAAGAACTAGGAATAATCTAAGACCAGTACATACATGGAAGTTTTTGAAACTTGCATGAATCTCATGGTAAAGCCTCTTTGGAGACTCACTCTGTAAAAGGACCGCATGGAAATTCTTCCATAGAGTACCATGAGATATGGACTTGATTCATTCTAAAGGAATATATTTTATATGTCCTAGCTGAGCTAAGAGTAGTAATTACCTTTGTACAGGTTAACTTTTGATTCTTAAGAAAAGACAAAAGAGTATGGTCTTCTAAAATGGCTTAAGTGTGAATGTTACACACAAAATAGCTCGTTTAGAACAACCATAAGGTAGGTTGAAATTAACAAAACATATATTGACAAGTATTGACATGGTGTACTGACAACGATAGGAAGTAGCAAAGAGGAAGATATTTTGGTTTTGATAGCTTCTCAAAAGGATAGCATTGCTCCTAGCGTTAGAAACCAATATCTCGTTGTACTGACAACGATAGGGTTACTACAAGAGCTAAAGAAGCTACACTAAGAAAGCAAGAAGTCATTAGATCTCACCACATTATACGAACAGTCGTAAAAGTGAAAGTATCAAATTTGCAAGATAGAAAAGGATAAACAATCTCTTAACCTATTGACCTAGGCTTTGGGAAAACCTATACACGAGGGTCACACTTCGTGCATGAGGCATACATGGACACCATAATTGGCCTTAATGCTAGTGGGAGATTGTTGAGTATAAGTGAGCCCTAGAGGCCAACTTACGATTCCATATCTATGATTATATCAAGAACAATAGGCCTAAAGATTGTTTAAGTCGTCTCGTGTGATTTAAACATAGCTTTAGTCCATAGAGTAGGCGCTCTAGTAACACAGATGAGAACTACGACGTTCTGATTATGAGGCTGTTACAAAGATAGAGGCTACGTCTAAAATATCCTCAGTCGAATATTATGACAATACGGACACCATAATATATCAAGACTAATATGTATGAGATGAGATAGCTGCATCTCATAGGCTATAGATAAAGTGTTATCTGAATCTATACGTAGGCAACCATATTGGATATGTTGCTGGATTGACCCGCTGTGAGAATAATATAAGGGTTTGAGTTAAAGTGTTAATATTATTCTCATGCGACCATTAGTATAACTATCCTTTGACTTGAAGTCATTACATACTTTGGTAAGTTGAGTTGTATACTTTGAGGCATGATTTATGCCATCTGAAATATTGGTGGATGTACGGTTATGTTTTGGGTATGCAATGAAACTTAAGCGAAGATGTGAATGACGTAGATAGAATTTATCCCTTCCTTAATGAAGTATAATATCTTAGGGCCCACTGATTGATGTGACTTGGGAAGTGCATGGCCATGCCCAAATAAATATGTTATTTGAATCCCATAAGTCAATCGAAGAATCAGTAAACCATCGATTTAACTCTAACAAGGTGACACACCCCATAACTTGTGTTAAATCAAGATATTAGTGATAAAGTGATAAGAGTTATACAAATAGGATGTGTCGTTGGAGGAATTGTTCCAAAAGCTTTAATCTATAATTTGGGGGTGATAATGTGTTGCTAGATACCGTTTATAACTTATAGTATTATATACTATGGCCAATTTTATAGATGACAGGAATAGGGTCACACACATAGAACATATGAAAGTGTAGAATATTTAAGTGCAGTAAAGTTGCACTTTATTTAAATATCGTGTGTATTATATTGTATGACAATATGATTAAATACACAAACATATATATAAATAAATATTTGGACATTTTAATTATGTGATAATTAAGTTTGTCAAATATATTTAACAATATATATATATATATATATATATATATATATATATATATATATATATATATATATATATATATTTAATATTTGGACATTTTAATTATATGATAATTAAGTTTGTCAAATATTATTTAAGGAACATAATATAACATAATTATATATATATGTGTGTGTGTGTGTGTGTGTATGTATGTATATATGTGTGTGTGTTCAGCGTGTGTGTGTGTGTGTGTGTGTGTGTTTCGTATATATGTATATATATAATAAATGTTATATTATTTATTTTGTGATAATTAAAGTTGACAAAATAAATTGGAAGCTTCTTTAAAGTGCCATTTGAAATTTCCTAAGTAGAATAGGAATGAGATTTGATTTCCTTAATAAACTCTAAAAGGTACATTCCTATTAGGAATAGGAATGGGGATTATGCTCCTTATAAATAAGAGATCATCCCACCCCTTTTTACACTAGAGAATTTTCGGCCCGAGCATTCTTTTAAGAGACAAAATATTGTTTTGTTCTGTTAATACTTTACACCAAATATTTTATATTTTAGAAATATTCTAGAGAAAAATTACTAGCATAATTTTCTCTGGAACACTCTTCGTTGTTCGTGTGTCTCAACTGGAGGTCATATACTTTTGTGGCTAGCTCTTGGACCAATCCATCAACCAACACATATCGTTGCTTGCTCGCCAAGAAAGGTATATTTCTAAACAATAACTAGTAATAATCATAAGAGGTCTTGGGTGGACCTACATTTGGACCTAAAATTTTTATATTTCCGCTGCCCTATCCAAGCGTAGGACCCAAGAGTTAGGTTGTAGGGTATAGTCTAGAGTAACGAGCGACGCAAGAATATGGATTTCCAGCCTGGAGATCTTGTGTGGATCCACCTTAGAAAAGAGCGTTTTCCCTCAAAACGCAAGTCCAAGTTACTGCCCCGAGGAGATGGTCCGTTCGAAGTTTTAGCTAAGGTCAACGACAACGCATACAAGATAGACCTGCCTGGAGACTATGGAGTTTCAGCCACGTTCAATGTC